GTGAGGATTAAAAAAAACAAAACAAACAATATTTAACCTGATACAATATTCAGTGATTAAAAAATTCCTTTATATCTCTCCTTAGATAAACTAATGCCTCTCCTATGAGACATAGAAATGTCCAGAAGAAACTACACTGAAGTGACAGAATTTATTCTCTTGGGCCTAACAAGTCGTCCAGGGTTGCAAGTTGCTTTTTTTGTGCTGTTCCTCATGGTCTACATAGTCACTGTGATAGGAAATGTGGGCATGATTGTTTTAATCAAAATTGATTCTCGACTCCACACTCCCATGTACTTCTTCCTCTCAAGCCTGTCTGTTCTAGATCTGTGTTTCTCCCCAAATGTCACCCCCAAAATGCTAGAAAATTTCTTATCAGAGAAGAAGACCATCTCATATGCAGGTTGCTTGGTGCAGTGCTATATCGTCATTGCTGTGGTCCTCACAGAGCACTGCATGTTGGCTGTCATGGCATATGACCGCTACATGGCTATCTGTAATCCACTGCTCTACAGTAGCAGGATGTCCAAGAGTGTCTGTGTCCGCCTGGTCATCGTCCCTTATGTCTATGGCTTCCTCCTTAGCGTGATGGAGACCTTGAGGACCTACAACCTCTCTTTCTGTGGTGCTAATGAAATTAATCATTTCTACTGTGCTGATCCTCCTCTTATCAAACTGGCATGTTCTGACACCTACAGCAAAGAGCTATCGATGTACATAGTCGCTGGCTACAGCAACGTCCAGTCCCTCCTGATCATTCTCACATCCTACATGTTCATCCTTGTTGCCATCCTTAGAAGCCGTTCTGCAGAAGGAAGAAAAAAAGCTTTCTCCACATGTGGCTCCCACCTGACAGTGGTCACAATCTTCTATGGAACCCTCTTCTGCATGCATTTGAGACGTCCCACAGAAGAGTCGGTGGAACAGGGCAAAATGGTGGCTGTGTTTTACACCACAGTGATCCCCATGCTGAACCCCATGATCTATGGCCTCAGGAACAAGGATGTGAAGGAGGCATTGAGAAAAGCAATCTGGAGACAAAAATTGGGGAAATGAAAGTGCTCAACTGTCATTAAAAATATTTCTAGACATAGCTAGATATGATATTATTGGGTTAGGCATCTCTTTTTTTTAAATATATTTTATTGATTTTTTTACAGAGAGGAAGGGAGAGGGATAGAGAGTTGGAAACATCAATGAGAGAGAAACATCGATCAGCTGCCTCCTCCACACTCCCTACTGGGGATGTGCCCACAACCAAGGTACATGCCCTTGACCGGAATCGAACCTGGGACCCTTGAATTCCTCAGGCTGACGCTCTATCCATTGAGCCAAACTGGTTAGGGCTAGACATCTCTTTTTAAGAGAGTTTTACACAATACATTTCTCACATTTTGTGTCAGGTAGCTGATGAGGTTAAAATTCCTGAACAAGTGCTTGAAAATGGGAAGAATAAGAGGTAACATTTAGGCAATTCATACACATTCCTATATGGGCTAGTGTCATTTCTTACAGGAAAAAAAATAGTGGTTTAAACAAATCTAAATTTTCACTTTATTTTGTTTTTCTGTCAGGTAAAAAAAAAAATCTGGAAGTAAGCAGTCTCCTATTTGTATGCCAGCTTTATTAGATTTGGTCTCTGAGTCCTTTACAGCTTGTTTTTTTTGTTGTTTGTTTGTTTGTTTTTTAAAGATGGCTTGCATTCCTACAGTCACTTTATGATGCACAATGGCTGCTCTGCAGCCAGCCCACATGAGCAAATGATTCAAATGCTCTAAATGTTCTATACAACATGTTTTCTCAGATCTTTGGGGCCAACTTAATCATATTCTCTAACCTCCCTGCAAGAGAGTTCAGGAAATTTTTATTCCAGGACACCATGTCAGGCTAAAACATAGGGTTCTACCATCGCCTCTTTGATGAATAGCAATGTACACCACCCCGCTTTTAAAAAATACCTCACTTTCAAATTTTACTCATTTAAGCAATGATTACCTAACCCACTTCCAATGACTCCCAATACTTGAATTGAGTAACACTTTATTTCACAGGTGATGGGAGGATCTTAGATACCTGAAAACGTCTCCACCAATGTTCTTGAGTGAAATCCCTTTTAAAATATTTTGTCACATAAAAGTTTTTTCTCAGAGTCTCAATATTACAACTAAGTAAGCTTTTGTTTTCATTTTGCAGAATCATAAAAATGCCTTCATGGATGTGCTTTCTAAATGCATTTGGCTGTTGTAAAAATCAAGATTTTATAAAAGATTGTGTTTTCTTTATGTAGGCTAATGATACTAATTAATTCAATAAACTTTATTTATATGTGAGCATACTTAGTATCCTATGATATCCATGTAAGATCCTATTTGTGTCTTACCTTATAATGACTATTAGAAGGTGATAATACAATCTTGTTGGTGTTTTGGAACACATTTAGAGTGTGTGTCCATAAATATATTTAATCAAGTTATCTTTAGAAAATTTGGAGGAGATGTGGAGATATATTCACTCTTTTTCCCTCCTCAAGTCCATAAAGACTATGATATAATAAAACACATACACTAGTCATACAGTGAAAATGAAACTCCTTTTGGGTCAGAAATTGAAATTTTTGGTCTGCTCTGTTAATAGTTGTTGGGCAATAGAGTGAGGTAATTAACAGTATAACTGGAATCAAATTCTGGAATCAGGAATCTATTTTTTGATTCATTGAGTGTGACCTTGAGTAAGGTACCATTTTCTAAGACTTGTTTTGGGTTTTCGTGTTTTGTTTTGTTTTCTATAAAATGGCAATAATACAATTACCTAAGAAGATAATTATGAGAATTAGATTAAATTAAATTAGCAGTGTCTGGCATGTGTTAACTTTAATAAATGCTGTATTGTTGCTATGATTAAGTTTCTAGTTTGCCTTGTTTATAGACTGAGTAAGTTGAAGCATATATATTTTTCCTGCTTCCAGAAGCTACAATTTTAATTATAAGGAATAATATCATTCCCTCTTTCTCTGGAAAAGCCAAGTGGCATAGACTCTGAGCACAGAACATAAGATGACCTTATTCAAATTGAGTAACACCATCACCAGATTTAGTGTGATGCAAACCCAAAACAAATATTGTTATTTGATCCTAGACACATCCAAAACAACTTGAGATTGAAGGGAAATAAAATTGTGCAAATCTGTTATTGAAAACACAAAATTCAACAGTCAACTCTTCCTCTAGAGATGTACTTCCTCCAGGGTCATTTCTAGGGGAAGCTTCTTAATTGCTTCTTTTTTTTTTTTACTAAGGAAAAGATTTAAAGGAAATGTCTCTATGGACCTCCAGTTTCCCTTTTGCCTGGTATATATAAGTTGTTTTCCATCTCTTACACAGCATTCACTTTTCAACTCTGCATCCTAACTGGAGATATTTCTCTTCATTCTCAGGTTGGTATAAAAATGAATCTGCCTAGAACTGCCAGATGAAGGTTGTATATTGGATTTTTTTAAATTAATTAACATCAATTATTCCATATATGTTATCTGTGGGTATAGGTGTGTTATTTGTATATGTGAAAGAAAGAGAAATGAGGGAGAGATTTCTATAGAGATTTGATTATTACAAACTATTAATGGAAGCTATAATTTTCAGGAGTTTATTTAATAACAATTGTCCTTTGTATATTTATTGTGTGTTAATGTATAATATATCTTTCATGCTTGTAAGTACACAATGAAATGAATATTATTATTGCTGTTACATCATATTAAGGCATAGAGAAACTAAAAACAAACAAAAAATAAAACCTTCCCAATGTCATGGAGCTAGAATTCAACCAGACAATAGAAACATAATTTTTTAACTTTATACTTAATATTTTTCTCATTCTTGGTCCTTTGGGGGAAAATCTATATCTATTGGAAACTTAATTTAAAAAACAGAGTGTTACAATATAGAAAATTTGTGTATATATTTTTCCTTTAAATGGTGAAGAAAATACTGTCAGTGCTTCTAAGATCCCAAATTCTCTATTTCTTTCCAGACTTTGTACTCTGTAAGATAAGACCTAACTACTCCATTTTTCCCTGTCAGTTCATCATAGCTGTTCCCCGGCGAACCACCAATCAGGCTTTCATGTATTTAGCTTTTGCAAAATACCAACACCCCCATCTTTTATACCTCCTTGTGATGAAACATCTGTGGTACTATGCAATCAGATCTGACTTTCCAAATAAAAATTTCTCTCTTGCTAATCTTTACAAAATGCAGAAAGGTGAGCAGCTCCTTATTTTACTTTTGAGTCTCCAAACATAACAGTGGATGACACCTAGTAGATTATAATTACATGTTAGATATGCCAAAGAGTCCGTATGCAGGGGATATGTATAATGTATGAATATGGATGAATGTGTATAGCGGTTCACCCTTTTCACTCGGTTTTGATGATGACTGTGGTTAGTCTGTCCCACTTCAGTTTAAGTTAAGTACAAGTATGAGGTTAGATCCAAAATATATTTTTATCTGACATTTAGGAATGAGTTATTTGTTTAAATGGCTTTCATTTCTAATCCTGGAGAATATACTTAAAATAAGAAAAGATGACATAAAAATTTATTTTTGACTTGTGGTTAAAAGAGAAGTATAACTCTTCATAAATATCTTAAAAATGTGAAACTATCAAATGAGCCAGGATTAGAAATGAAGGATGGAAATTTGGCTAACCACAATATTTAGTACTAGCATGTTTCAATCATAATATTTTATATAATTGTTACGTTAATGAACCTGAGAACTTATTATTCTTAGTGACCTGAAGAGATCCTGTTGCATAGCAACTGTTCATAAAAGATTTACTGAAAATAATGACAAAAGGCAGTCATAGCTATGTAATAAAGAAAATATGAAACAGACATGAATAAAAGTATAAATTAATAATCAATACCTGATTTTTAAATTTATTTCCTTTTTGTTGTCACAGAGATTTGTAACTAACATTCACCTAGAAGTGAGAAAATGCTTAATTTCACCGATGTGAAAGAGTTTATTCTTTTGGGACTAACTAGTCATCGGGAATGGCAAGTTCTCTTCTTTATCATTTTTCTTGTGGTCTATATTATCACGTTAGTGGGCAATATTGGCATGATCATGCTAATCAAGGTCAGTCCACAGCTCAATAGCCCCATGTACTTTTTTCTCAGTCATTTGTCATTCGTTGACGTGTGGTTTTCTTCCAATGTCACCCCTAAAATGTTGGAAAACCTGTTATCAGAGACAAAAACTATTTCTTACACTGGCTGCCTGGTACAGTGTTTCTTCTTCATTGCCCTTGTCCATGTAGAAATTTTTATCCTTGCTGTGATGGCCTTTGATAGATACATGGCAATTGGGAAACCTCTGCTCTATGGCAGCAGAATGTCAAGGGTTGTCTGTATTCGACTGATCTCTTTCCCTTACATATATGGTTTTCTGACTAGTCTGGCAGCAACATTATGGACTTATGGCTTGTACTTCTGTGGAAAAATTGAGATCAACCACTTCTACTGTGCAGACCCTCCTCTTATCAAAATGGCTTGTGCTGGGACCTTTGTCAAAGAATATACCATGATCATTCTTGCAGGCATTAACTTCACCTATTCCCTGACTGTGGTTATCATTTCCTATTTGTTCATTCTCATTGCCATCCTACGGATGCACTCAGCAGAAGGGAGGAGGAAGGCATTTTCCACCTGTGGGTCCCACTTGACCGTGGTCACCATATTTTATGGGACTCTTATTTTCATGTATCTCAGACGTCCCACAGAGGAGTCCGTGGAGCAGGGGAAAATGGTGGCTGTGTTTTACACCACAGTGATCCCCATGTTGAACCCTATGATCTACAGTTTGAGGAACAAGGATGTTAAAGAAGCCACGAGTAAAGTGATGAGCAGAATATCTTTAACTGAATAAAATAAAATTGAGTTAATCTTGTCTTCTATGTTTCATAATTATTTGTTTGTCAGCAGGTAATGGCTCAGGACATAGCTAAAGACCTTTTACAAAAGCTAAAGACTGTGCATTAAAAAGAAAAAAAACAGAGAAAGACTCAAATTCAGAGAAAAGTAGATTGACCCATTCCTGTTGATGTAAGTAGAGAAGATAACAAAATTTTGTTAATTATCTAATCAAAAGGTTATTTGAGCCAAAGTGCAGAAGTATACTAACTGAAATTGTTCTAATACTTAGCTAGAATAAACAGATTTCTTCTTATTTAAAATGCAGTAGATAAATTTTGGGAAATACCAATTTGCTTAGTTGGAGACTAAATTGGGGCAGAAAAATATTTAATTTAATTTTCTAGAACCAAGTCATAAAATGGTCTTGCTAGAAGTTGTGATATTTTGTGATATTTCATGCCTTTTTAAAAAAGTGTGAGGCAGGTTTGTTCAGTGACAACTACTTTGAAAATAGCAATTCTATTGCATTTAATCCTTTTCAATTTTTGTTTTTTGTTTTTAAGAGACACAGCAAGATTCCAATAATTGCTATAATTTAAGCAAAAGTTGCCAGACACCAGACTGCACTTTCATGTGCCCCTGCCAACAGTCTTCAGTCTGAATAAAGTAGGTAGAATTAGTGGATGGATGTGCCATTTTGAAAGCACAATACTCCAGATTCTTCTTAACAAATTAAAATGATATTCATGTGTAATATTTTGCACATCTGTGATGCTTTAGTACTTAAATATTTAAAAATAATTTTTGTATCTGTAAGAAATAAAATATTTAGGGTGGTTTCTTTTTTGTTAACAATACCGTGTCCTGCCATGATAATCTATACTAATAAAAGGGTAATATGCTAATTAGACCGGATAGACTGGACATCTTCTGGATGTCATTCCAGACATCCTTTTTGACAAAGCCAGGGCCTGAGCGAAGCCACTGGGGGACCCAGGTGCCTGCAGCCACCCAGAGGGAGGAAAGCCTGGGTCCCGGGTGCCTGCAGCTGGCCAGAGGGAGGGAAGCCTGGGTTTTGGTTGCCTGCCAGTGGCCGCAGGAGGGAAGCCTGGGTCCTGGGTGCCGGAGGAAAGCCAGTGCTGGCAGCTGGGAGAAGGAAGGCCTACTCTTGCTTGAATTTTTGCATTGGGCCTCTAGTCTAATCTAATAATAGACAAACATGGTAATTGACTGTACCTTCGCTATGCCTCCCATTGGCTAATCAGTGTGATATGCAAATTAGCTGCCAACAAAGATGGCAGCTAATTTGCATACTGCAGGCAGGGCGGGCCAGTACGAGATGCCATCTGGGCCCCCATGTGCCACCTAAGCCCCACCCCCAGCTGGGACCCCTGTGTGAAGCTCTGGGTGGAGGGGTTTGGAGGAGTGAATGGGCCACCTAAGCCCCGCCCCCAGCCAGGACCCCCGTGTGCAGCCCTGGGCGGGCGGGACCCCCATCTGCGGCCTTGGGCAGAGGGGCTTGGTGGCGCAATAGGCCCGAGGAAGCCCTATTCTTGCAGGAATCCTCCTGCAACAGGCTTCTAGTATTAACATAATTTGGCATCTCTCTTATACCTCAAGTCACAAAGTACAAGCATGAGGCAAAGAATTTACAAATTGACTTCCTTAAAGGTTCTTTATCTTTAGATAAATAAGTAAGTAAATAAATAAATAAATAACTGGATGTTTTGATGTGGACAATATATAACTATAGAAATGTAAGTCACAGATTTAAGCTACACATTTAAGTAGCTATAAATTTATCTGCAAATATCCTATATAATAAAAGAGAAACATGGTAATTAGCCGTAACTTCGCTACCCTTCCCATTGGCTAATCATCAAGATATGCAAATTAACAGCCAACTAAGATGGCGGCTGGCAGCCAGGCTACGGACGCGAACAGGAGGCTTGCTTGCTCCAGTGATGGAGGAAGCCAAGTTCCCTGCCTGCCACTGCTGGGCTCTGAGCTGCAACTCTAAGAAACATTGTTACAAATATAGAAGCTAAACAAAACCCCAGAAACCTGCTTTCAGTCAGCCGGGATCTCAGAGCTGGAGTCGCAACAAAGTTTCAAATACAGAAGGTAAACAAAACCAGAAACCTGCTTTCAGCAGCTGAGGTCTGAGCAAAAGCCAGCTCTCAGCTCCAGTGACAGCCATAGAAGGTAAATAAATCCAAGAATAAAAAAAAAAAGGAAAAAAGGAGAGGTTGGGAGCTTCAGTCACCCGCCAGCCTGAAAATGGCCCTCAGCCCCTCACCCAGACTGGCCAGGCACCCCAGTGGGAACCCCCACCCTGATCCAGGACACCCTTCAGGGCAAACCAGCCAGCGCCCACCCATGCACCAGGCCTCTATCCTACATAATAAAAGGGTAATATGCCTCCCAGCACTGGGATTAGCGGAGCAGCGAGGCCTCCCAGCACTGGGATCAGCAGAGCAGCGAGGCCTCTTGGCCCCTGGAGCAGTGTGACAGGGGGCAGCGCCCAAACCCCCTGATTGCCCTGCAGTTCTGTGTGTGACAGGGGGCGGGGCCACAACCTCCCTATCCGCCCTGCTTTGTTCATGACAGGGGAAGGCTCTGCCCAATCCCCTAATCGGCCCTGCTCTGTGCCTGATAGAGGGGAGCTCCCCAAACCCCTGATGGGCCCTGCCCTGTGTGTGACAGGGTGCGGGGCCCCAACCCCCAATGGGCCCTGCTCTGTGTGTGACGGGGTGGAGCCCCAACCTCCCCATCGACCCTGCCTTGAGTGTGACAGGAGGCGGCGCCCCAACTCCCTAATTGGCCCTACCCTGAGCATGACTGAGGGTGGCATCACAACCTCCTGATTGGCCCTGCTCTGTGCATGACAGGGGGGAGCTCCCCAACCCTCCAATCGGCCCTGCTCTGAGCCTGACCAGGGGCTGCACCTAGGGATTGGGCCTGCCCTCTGCCACCTGGAGCGGGCCTAACCCAGCAGGTCGTTATCTCCCGAGGGGTCCCAGACTGTGAAAGGGCACAAGTGGGGCTGAGGGACACCCCACCCCCCCACCAGTGCACAAATGTTTGTGCACCGGGACTCTAGTGTAAATATAAAATGAGATCCATGCAATATGAGAACAAATGTTTTTCCTTGTCTGTTTTTGAGTTTTCTTACCCCTAAGTGAAACCAAAAATGCATATGAATTCATTTTCAGATAAACACACACATATTATGGGCAACATGTTAAAACTATTCACATATAAACAAATTGTTATTTTAGATTAAATTGTAGTATTACTGAGTCTCTAATAACAAAACTTAAACTCCCTAAAGAATTTAAGATGTAACTTACCCTACTTAATGTTACTTTGGTGTGATATTAAAACCATTTATTGGAGAACTCTTGATAGAGCATGTTATATATTTCATAATATGATTTTGAAGCATTTTAATACTTTGTAATCTGTTAGCATGTGGTTATGTATGAGCTTTGTAACCTCTTTTTTTTCAAAGGTGAAATGCTTCGTTAACTGATTTTTGGAGAGTTACTTTAGTTTTACATGAAGAATGATGAAGCCAAGGTCAATGGTTAAATCATGTTCCTGGTCTGAGTTTCTGAATTTTAAATAAATTTGTGGGTGACCTTGGAAAATTCAACTTTTATTATTCCTCTAGTTAATTTTTAGGATGTAGTCTTTGATTTCCAAGGCCTATTCTGGTTCATAATTTCCATGAGTTGGCAGAACTTAAATTTGCCATTAGCTGAAAATTCAGGATTTTTCTGTAAAATACTTTTTGAAATAGATTTGTATTGTTACATGTATTTCTACATCTATTTACTTCATTATATCTAATCATCTCCTACACAAAGTGTATTTGTCTCTGCCACTCTTTTTCTTTCTATAACACACCCACACCCACACACACATACACACACACACGCACACACACACACACACACACACACACTTCCTTCTTTTCAAAACTACATTTTCATGAAAGAGTATATATTGCATTATAATAGCCTGGTGCCCCAAAGCGCATCTGATGTATTTTATCCATAATAAATTAGAAAGAATTCAGGAGTTCTGGGCACTTGGGCACTGAAGAATTCAGAATAAAACTTTGCCTGAGCACAATTATGTCGGTAACTGTACAGAGGGAAAACTGCATAAATCATTTCAAAATTTTTTTTAGTGTGTCATATGAGGCAGGCATTATGCTGAGAACTATCCCTATGTCATCTGAGATCATCAAGTCACTGTAATCTAGTAGTTACCCCATCCTACAGGTGAGTACTGAGGCTTTTGTTACTTTTCTCAGGTCACATAGTTACAGTGGCTAGAGCCAAGGTATGCTTCCTGACCTGTCTGACTTCAAAGTTGATGCTCTGACTCCCAGAATAGTTTAAACTCCATGAGTCAAATTGCTCTACTAAAATTGACGCTTCACCAAGGCCTTTACTTGTACCCAGTCTCCCTAAATGTTTCCAAGTGACCTATAGTTTTGATGAATCTGACATCTATAAAAAACAAACAAACAAACAAAGAAAAACAAGGTGCTGTGATCATATATCCTGACAGATGGAATTTATTAGACTTGTAACACAACAGAAAAGAAAGTGACTGACCGAAATTTTACATGATGCAAACCAAGAATGTTTTTCTGACAAGCATAATTGCTAAGTGTGGATAAAAGAGGGCAGAACACATGGGAAGGTGAGACAGATTATATCATGATATCAAAATGTTTGATTTCTTAACTAAAAGAATTATTCTTCCAATTAACAGCTCTTAGCTTCTCCTACTCTTGAGATGTTTCTAGAATTGGAATCATTATTCCTTTCATAATTACCTGGGTAGTTCCTTGGGGAGATGCTCTCAATGTTCCAAATTCTATTATAAATAATGAAAAAGTATCATCTGCTGTTCTCCTCTGCTGAAGGTAGGTCTGCAAATTGTATTTTATACAATACAGATGAATGCAGTAAAATATATTATCTTTATCCCTATTTTTAAGAGAAGACTGAAACCTTATTTGTAGACTTATTTGTTATTACTGTGTTTAATTTTGTAAAATTATACTACTGGCAAATATTTTTATTTCTATTCAGATTTTATTCATAACTTCATAAGAATGATCTTGTTACAATGGGGATTTACAATTTTTTATTGCTCATTTAAAAAAATAGGTTTTTAGAGAGAGAAAGGGTGAGGAAGTGTGAAATAGAAACATCAATGATGAGATAGAATCATTGATCAGCTGCCTCCCTGCACGCCCCCACTAGGGATCTAGCCCACAACCCAGGCAGGTGCCCTGACAAGGAGTTGAGCTGTGATCTCCTGGTTCATAGGTCGAACCTCAACCACTGAGCTACACCAGCTAGGCTATTCCTCACTTTTTCACCCATTCATTCTTCTCTACAAATTTCATTGATTTGCACATTGTTGTCTTAAAATATATGTAAGTGATGTTTGAGGATATTGTGTCCTTGAGGATGATTGCACCAGTAATTTTTCTTCATGAAAAATTCCTAAAAAGTTAATAAAAGATCATTTGTTTTTTTTATTTGTAAATTGCACATCCTATACTCACAATTGTTTTTATAGATGAAGCACACTGTGTAATAAGTTGACTCTATCTCAGAAGTGACTGCTCATCTGCTCCTAGGTTATGGGATCCCCTAACGATGGAAAGGTAGAGAGAAGCAGTGGTCTATCTTTGTAGCTCAGCCTGCTCTAGGGTCATACAAAGCTCTGTCCATCAAGGATAAGTTATTATAAGGATAAATTTGTTCATGCTTAGAGGGTAATCAAACTAAATTTTAAATATGTAGAAATAGAATAATAAGTTATCAAAGAGGTGGCAATATAAGGTTATTAAGGGTACCATGCTGCAGTTAAATTAATTGGTTTGTACCCCAAGTCTGGTCAATGAGCAGACGTCTGACTCATGAAGACTTTCCTCTCCTGTCAGTGCACTAGTTTTCTCATTTGTAAAGCGACAATTCTAATGTTTCATGACCTTTGCATGCAAAGGGTTTCATAAGCATTCAATAAAAGTTGATTATTCTTATTAATATTCTAAAGTTGAGATGATTGTCACTAGAAAAATCTATCTTAGGGAGTTTTAATAATGTTAGAGTATAGTAATATATGAAGCTTATTTAGAGATTGGATGCTTTCTAAATAAATTATATATGTGAATATTTCTGAATATCTGATCTATGTAACATCCAGCCTAGGCATTTTAAAGAGTTCCAAGATGAATGAGGCAAATGCTACTATCACAGCTAGTGATTACATGTAGAGGAAGAGAAATATACACATCACACAGGGACTGAAACAAAATTAGAGAAGTAGCATTAGTTTATGATTTTAGATACTTTGATGCTTTTCATATATTTTATACTTAAAACAATATAGCAGTACTGTTAACTCAAGTGAAAATCTGTTCATTAGAGAATTTGGGTTCATTGAGTGGGGTCAGGAGTCTTTACATAAGAAAATCCCTGACCTTAGCTCTATTTCCCAAACACGGTCTGCAGCTCTCATCTGGGTAAGTATTTCCGTACTTAAAAGGAGCCAAAACAGATGAGCTGCACTATGGAGTTCTCTAGGAAAAGGAAACTTAGATCAGAACTAAAACTGCAGTGCCCATTAGGTTATGTGCCTAATTCATTTTAAAGATGATGTATTTAACTTATGTATTAAACATTTTAGGGGTAAGAAAATAGTTCATAGAAATTAATTAACTTCTCAAATGTGCCCTGCTACTAATTGGAGGTACTATGATCTATATACATAAAAGCCAAGTGATCAGAATGCTGGAATGACTGGAAAGACCAGTTACTTTGACACACACTGTGGCCCTGATAGCCCCTGCCACCCCAATCAGGGGCGGGGCCAGCCGGCCAACCTCTCGCATCCCCTGTCCCCCAGCTGGCCCGGCCCTGATTGGCCCCAATTGGGGCAGGTCAGCCAGACCACACCTATGCACAGATTTGTGCACTAGGCCTCTAGTATAATCATAAAGTTCATGCACTTTTTCATATATAAAGGAATGCTTCTAGTAACACTCTTTTTCAATATGCCAAGCTAATCTTGCCTTTTCAGGGCTTTTGAATTGGCACTCACTTCTTCCTTCATATTTCTACACAGCTGGCTATTTCTCACTGACTCAGAAGTGACTTCCTCAGAGAGGTCATTTTGATCATGCTATCTGCACTCTGCCTCCTCTTATTTCTTATTTCTTAGTGTGCTGTACTTTTGTCACAGCAATTCCACTCCTTAATTGATCTCATTTGCATATTTATCTATTGCTAATTCATTTATTACTAATTCCTTTTCAACAACAATAAAGGATAATGCAAGCCAGAATCTTGAATATTTTGCTCACCCTCAGATTTTCAGAATTTAGATTATCTCTAGATGTAACAAACACATCTGACATGTAATTGGCTTTGGTGTTTATAAAATTAATTAATGTAAGCAATTACAAAGACCCATTTATAATTCAGTAATATACCCTTTAAACATTATTATTATTGAGACTTTAAATTCCCAAGTTTGTGCTAATCCTACAATTAGGTTCTTGAAAACTCACGGTAAGTTTTTAGTCCTTGGAAGAAGTCAACTGGAGAAGTGCAGTAAAACAGGAAAATATTGTTTGGGAACCTTTCCCTTGCAGTGATGCCAAGTTTGAATATGAATCATAAGCATGGAATTGATAAGTTCTGAAAACCAGAATCTGAAATGAGACATACTCGTTATTAAACGATGTTACCTGATCTTTACGTCTTGTTATTTATCTATTGACATAATTTTGATAGTGGGTGCTGGGTGATTAAACCACTTGCAGTTTACTCTTCTGAAATAATTGTTCAACTGACAGAGTTTATGCTGTTAAGTTTCTCTCACCTCGCCCCTGCAAGTAGTAGCAACCAGACAAGCATAATGTTGGCTAAACAAAATAACATACAACCAGAAATGTCATATGATGAAAGCATATATCATATGCTGGCATAACATAGGAAATATATGTCAATAACTAGATTGTAATACCAATATATTGAGAAATTGGTTGAAGTTTCTGAATACAATTTTATTTTCAAAAATCAATGTACATATGAAGAATATAGAACATTTTTTGGTAAATCAGTCCATGGGGGATTGGATTTAACCATTCTTTGACAGCTCTCAGTCTAACTTTAGTCACATTTATTCCCTATGATTTTAACATTAGTGTCATAATCTACAAATGTCTAATCTCCATAGTGTCATAAAATACAAATGTCTAATTTTAATAATATGTATTAACAATGAATGTAATTTTCTCTCTTACAGATAAGAAACTGATAAATATTGATGGTAACTACTTATAAGACCTATTAAAGAAAACAATTATGCCCATATATTCTTGGACATTGTGCAAAATCCTCATTGATTTTTAAAATTATTTTAATTGACTCAAAAGTTTAAGAATAAAACAAATCCATTCATTTAAAAAAATTTCTCCATAGGCCATACAGACTGGGTCTATGTAAAGATAATGCCAAATTTCACAGATGTGACAGAATTTATCCTTCTAGGGTTGACCAGTCACCAGGATCTTCAAGTTCTCTTTTTTGGGGTGTTCCTAGTAGTTTACATAATAACTCTATTAGGGAATATTGGTATGATCATATTGATCAGTGTCACCCCCCAGCTTCAGAGCCCTATGTACTTTTTCTTGAGTCATCTGTCTTTTGTGGATGTGTGGTTTTCATCCAATGTCACCCCCAAAATGCTGGAAAACTTATTATCAGAGACAAAAACCATTTCTTATGTGGGGTGTTTGGTGCAGTGTTACTTTTTCATTGCTCTTGTCCATGTGGAAGTCTATATCTTGGCAGTGATGGCCTTTGATCGCTACATGGCCATCTGCAACCCTTTGCTTTATGGCAGTAAAATGTCCAGGACTGTCTGTGTTCGGCTCATTTCTGTGCCTTATGTCTATGGATTCTCTGTTAGTCTAATATGCACACTATGGACATATGGCTTGTACTTCTGTGGAAACTTTAAAATCAACCACTTCTACTGTGCAGACCCTCCTCTCATCAAGATTGCCTGTGGCGGGGTCTACATCAAAGAATACACAATGATTGTGATTGCTGGAATTAACTTTACCTACTCCCTCTCAGTGGTCCTCATCTCCTATACCCTCATTGTAGTAGCTGTGCTACGCATGCGTTCTGCTGATGGGAGGAAGAAGGCCTTCTCCACATGTGGGTCCCACTTGACAGCTGTTACCATGTTTTATGGGACTCTCATATTCATGTATCTCAGGCGGCCCACTGAAGAGTCTGTGGAGCAGGGGAAAATGGTGGCTGTGTTTTATACCACTGTGATCCCCATGTTGAACCCCATGATCTACAGTTTGAGGAACAAGGATGTGAAAGAGGCAGTCAATAAAGCAATCATCAAGGCCAACTTGGGCCAGTGAAACTACCACAGATATTTTTGTGGTGTATTGCTATCTATACATATAAAACCCTAATATGCAAATTGACTGAATGCTGGAAAAACCGAACTGAACAACCAGTCTCTATGACATGTGCTGACCACCAGGGGGTGCGCATGGTACATGGTGGGAGTCGGCAGCAGTCAGCAGAGCTCGGAACATGGCGAGTTTCGGCCATGGTGGGATGGTGAAGCAGGTGACCCGGGTGCCAGACCAAGACAGGGCGCCAGTCACTGTCACTGGGGCAAGCCCCTGGTAGTTATTAAAAATTCTTTGCTCCCATGTGTGGCAGTCCTGCCCGGCACTTGCACCTGCTGCTGGCGCTGGCCCCGCTCACAACTGCTGCCAGCACCAGAGCTACCACCCATACCTACTGTCAGCACCTGGCACCGGCCCCTATCTCTTGACACCATCAGCGGGTGTGGGCGGTGGCTGCTGGCCCTGATCACCCCTGAGGGCTTCTCCACCCCTCCCTCGTTCCTGGGGGGTGATTGGGGCAGCAGCCTCTGCTCACACCCATTGACTGTGCCAGCCCCACTCGCACCTGCTGCTGGTGTTGCCCCAATTGCTCTGTGCCATCAGCGGGTGCGAGCGGGGCCAGCTACATCAGCAGGTAGGAACAGTGGCTGTGGAAGTGAGGCTGCTGGCAGACAGGGGACCGGGGGCCACAGCAGGAGGGGTGGGCAGGGGAGCAGAGGATGGACTGAGACCCGCCCCTGTGTCCACTGCAGCCTCGCAGCCCACAATTCCTTTCAAGGTGCACAAATTCATGCACTAGACCCCTAGTCTATTATAAATGTACAGGCATAAAAGTCCTAGCTCAAAAGAGATGTTCTGATGACAACTCTTACATACAATAAGAGGTCCAATCTAATATGGTGATGCTTTATCCCATGAATGGACTCTAATGATAAAGCCTGCTTTATCCTGTATATGCAACCAAATTATTGAATCTGAAATATTAGTGTCATTCACTGTGTATATAAAATTGTGCTAAGTGTAGTCACTGGAAGAATTCATGGATAAGTTTAGATAGATGCATGTTAATTTGGAGGTACCCTTGTTGAAATCAAACATGACTTCCTAGGATATATTTTATATACACATACTCCTCTGCCTAGTTTCAAATGAATATATAATTTTATAAGAAAAAATAAGTAAGAATTCATCTTTTTTGTATGACTACAAGATGTTGATGGAGCCTGGTTTACCAAAAAAAGTATTCTGTTGTGTTTATGTACATATGGATTCTAAAAATGAAATTTTATTTGGAATCTTCAACTAGTATCTCAATCCTATATAATAAAAGGGTTATATGCAAACTGACCCTAACAGCAGAATCACTGGGAATGACTGGTCACTTTGACACACACTGACCACGAGGGGGCAGACGCTCAATGCAGGAGCTGCCCCCTGGTGGTCAGTGTGCTCCCACAGGGGTAGCTCTGCTTAGCCACAAGCCAGGCTGATGGCTGCCAGCACAGCGGTGGTGGTGGGAGCCTCTCCCGTCTCCTGAGCAGAGCTAAGGATGTCCGACTGCAGCTTGGGCCTGCTCCCCGCTGGCAAGTGGACATCCCCCGAGGGCTGCTGGGCTGCCAGGGGGATGTCTGACTGCCAGCAGGTGGACATCCTCCGAGGGGTCCCAGACTGCAAGAGGGCATAAGCCAGGCTGAGGGATCCCTCCAAGTGCACAAATTTTTGTGCACCAGGCCTCTAGTATAATCATAAGATTTGTCCTCAGTATGCATTGTTTTATAGTCAACATTATTTGTGTTTCAATAATCCGTTTAATTACTCTTACTCCTTGCTTTGGATTGTAGTATAAATTTATTGGTTTTTAAAAGGGTTAATTATTTATGACCCTTTAAATAATTATTTAAAAAGGTTATTATTTATAAAGATTTTCCTACCCTCATCATAATAAAAAAATAAACCAGTATGAATTTTCTGGTACTTAAATCTGACCTTTGTCCTATTAAATCTTTGATTGATATGATTTCAAAATATCACTTGATTCCAGTTCTTCCTACTAATATTAAATGTTTTGGTTCTGTATCAAGCTTTTAGTGCCTAGAGTGAATCGACCAAAGAAGAAGCACTGTTCAACTAAATTATATTGCTCTTGGCATGAATTCAAATTTAAGTAATACAGGTCAAAATGGTATCCCATTGGGGCTGTTTAAAAGTCTTCAAAAGCTCACTGCTTTATTTATCTAGGTTGGTGCATATACAGTCCACTTTATCTACATTCCATTCTTGCTAAATGTAGAATACAAATTTGTCTACCTTTGATGACTATTGCTAGCTTACCAGTATAGAGGTAAATGGAAGTAAAGTAGAAGTGATTTCTGATTTGTGAGTTTATCCTGTTGTAAGTGGTAATCTAATTAAAAGGGGTACACAATTGAGTATGTGCAGGAGGACTCTGAGAAGCAGCACAAAATTGTAGTAATACTGCAAGTAAGATGGATTAATTCAGAAACAATATTGGTACTTAGACTAATATACTCATTAAACATGGGCCACTTCCCCTTAGAATGGATCTGAGGAAAGGCAGATGGTGAAGGGAGGGGAATTTTTCATTCATAACTTTAGAGTCTGAGTAGGGGGAAAGAGTACTGTTTACTGGAAGCTATGTTAACACAGATTTTTTAAAAATGTTTTTAAACCACTCATATTTGCTTCTAAAGAGTTAGTATCAAGTCTGAAAAGTAAGGCTGCTCAAGGAACAACTACTTTCACAGAGACTGACCTTATAACTTGTCATTCCAAGACCATAATCCAAGGTCTAGTGGTTTTGACCTTGGCCACTCAAACAGGTTGCCACTGAAATGACTGGCCTAGACCCAAACATGAAAGCTACATACTGAAGATTTAATTGCCTTACCCTAGCCTCCAACTCATACTGTTGCACGAGAAAGAAATACAATCCTGCTTTATTGAGGGACTCACTGTATTTTTAGGGGATCACTAGTTATAGCACTTAGCCAGTATCCTAATTTTCCTTTCAAATGTTCTTAAAATATGTTCCAACAATATTATCCTTGTCATCTCACCTCTACTTCCTAGGGAAAATTTTGCTTTGAGGATGGTTAAATCTCCTCAGATACTTGCCTGTTTTCCTGGTATTGAATAAAGTAAATCCGGTCCTCTCTCTTAACCAGAAGGGGTTACAAACCCAACCCTCAGGTCTTAGATTTGGGTTATAAATCTTTTGTCTCCCTGCTTTGATGAGTGCTGAACTTGTCATGGCCTCCGATTGTCCCAACTTCTAGGCCACTTCTCTCCACTGGCATGTTCAGATTCTTACAAGCTTCTTTCTTGGCCTCAGGGATTCTCAGCCATCCCGCCCCTCACCCCATCCCCACCCCCGCCCGCCACACACACACACACACACACACACACACACACACACACACACACACTGTTTGTAGGTATGGACTAAGCGAGCTTCTGTGTTAGCCAACACACATTTTTAGCTATTGTTACTATGAGTTGAATTGTGTCCTCCAAAAAGATGTGTTGAAGTCCTAAGCCCAATGAACTCAGAATGACATGATTTGGAAACAGAGTCATTGCAGATACAATTAGTTAAGATGAGGTCATATTGGACAAGCAGCCCTTCCCCAGTCCTACTTCTCACTGGTCCTCATGATGTGGTGAACAGAACACCTGGAAAGGTGACCTTATCTTTGAGCATACCACTAGCATTTGTCTCCATTGTCCAAGCCTCCATATCCCTCTGAGCCTCCAGGTCCTGATCTGTTAAGTAGTAATAGTTTTGAAGTGTCAAAAAAGGCATGCAGTGCAGGATTAAGAATTATTACAAACATTTTGATCAGGAACTATGAGAAGCATTGTTATGTTATGCCTAACCTTGTAAGCCCTCCCCAAAGGAGATAGACAGCAGGACTAGCCATCAAAGCTCCACAGAGATTCATGCTTCTGGAAGCTCTTGGTTGGTCTCATCATCAAACGTGTCCCACATTCTCTGTTGCCTTGCAAACACAAAGCCTTACAAGTTCCCATGGGTAATAAAAACAAGTTGGAGAAAACAAAATCTGTTTATTTACATCCAACAGAAAGAAAATAAAATGGGAAAATTGTAACATGATGGAGAACAAGTGTTGATTTCCACCCCACAGCCAGGCCTGATGAGTTCTAGCTCCCTGAGACCTGGCTATTAATTGTGTAGCCTTCAGTTCATTATTAAAGAAAATGGATTTATAACGCATTTCCTAACTAAACTACTTTTAAGTCCAAGTGTTTCATACTCTTAATGATGATTTCCATTTTAAGAAGTTTTCAACTTCTGACTTAATTTCTTTTCTCAAAGAGGGAGTAATGCTCATTTGCCACAGTTCCTAGATGAAAGGGTGACTATGAGTGTGGATGAGACAACCTGTGAGAAAAGGCTTTTGAATATCTGGACCTGCTATAACTGAGATACCTTGGACCCTGGACCCTGGGTCGTGACAGGTGCTGAATATGTCAGTATAATAAGTGTACTTTTAGTAGCTTTGTGACTTCACAGCAACCATTTGAATCCAGTATGGTACGCAGAGGAAGGCCACAAATTCCTTTATGACACACCAATCTATAAATCCTACTCACATTGTCAATCTCAGGTTGAGCCCTTACTGCTTGTGGTCAGAAACATGGCTCGTCATTATGAGTTCTTGCCCACTCTCCACTTTACTGCATTAGCTTTGCACAATTCTCTTAGATTTTTAATGTTATGCTTTGGGATTACAAAACAGCAAAAAGCAAAACAAAACAAAACAAAAAACCCCACAAAGAAACACAGCAAACATATTCTCCTTTCTTGAGTGCTCGTTCTTGACAACTGATGGTGCACACTCCCCAAAGGAAATTAATTTAAGAGGGGAACATCAAAGGGAGAAAAAAAAAGGAGACATATGTAATGCTATTTGTAACACTTTAAGCAATAAAACAAAACTTAAAAAAGAGCTTAAAATCAT